GACGACGACGACGACAACATCGACGGACGACGACGATGACGACGTCGACGACGACGGACGACGGACGACGGACGACGGACGACGACGACGACGACGACGACGACGACGACGACGACGACGACGACGACGACGACGACGACGACGACGACGACGACGACTACTACTACTACTACTACTACTACTACTACTACTACTACTACTACGACGACTATTACTACTACTGGCCTTCTGAGAAGTCTCCTAAGCTTGCCCCGAAGACACAGAACACCTTTCAGAATGCGCGAGGGCTTCTGAGAAGCCCCGTCGCCCTCTGAGAGGGCGTTCTACTTCCCACGTTCCCCCTCGGTCGCCACCGAAGAGAGTATTACGCCAGCAAAGCACCCGAATGGCAGCAAAGGTTCAGAGGCGTTTCGAAAAGTAGGAGGTCGGCTATTCTAGGGAGTCCAAGGAAACGCTTGGCCATGTGCACCTTGGTGTATTTCCGTGTGCAGGGAGTCGTGGCCGTCCAGACCAGAAATGTGGCCGGCATTGAGGCCAGAGCACGATTCTGGAATACTGTGTGAGGAAATCTCGCTGCTGGACCAGGTGGTCCAGGACTCCCCGTCCGCCTCGTGGGACGTTTTTGTTGTTGCTTTTTTATCCTATTTTTATGAGAACGTTCCAACGATACACGATAAAGGTACTTGAGGACAGGCCGCCGTTGGGAGCCAGTCGGCGTGTTGCTCCTTCGATTTTGCTCTAAGGCATGGTGCTGGTGCTTCTTTCCGCCACGAAAGCTTATATTATATAAATTTACAGACACACATAAATATACACAAACATACATACGTACATACATACGTACATGCATACCAACATACATACATACATACATACATACATACATACATACATACATACATACATACATACATACATACATACATACATACATACATACACACATACATACATACATACATACACATACATACATACATACATTCATTCATTCATTCATACATACATACATGCATGCATGCATGCATGCATGCATGCATGCATGCATGCATGCATACATACATACATACATACACACATACACACAGACACCCTCTAATGGATTGTTCCTGGGCCTCAGGCGAGGGCGATGGTGTATCAAGTTGCCACTGACGGCCAGCGACTTTCACCGCCACCCTCCCTGAGGGTACATGCAAAGCTCGTCAGAGGGTGTCTGTGTATTCCTATTCAAACATTCTTATAAGGCCAGGGACGCTGGAACAAGCTCCCCCTCCCCCCCTAAGGAATTTGGCCCTCCCCGGGCCATGGGCAACCCTTCAGACGACCCGGGAGAATCTCACGAGAGTCCGAAGACGGCCCCAGACGGGTTCCAGGCGTTCTGGCGCGCTCCCGAAACGACCCTAGAGAGCCCCAATACGATCCACGACGACCCCAAGAAGCCGTCATACCCCCAAAGATCGCTCCAAGACGTCCCAAGAGGCCTCCGAGAGCACTATGCAGATGGCCCCAAGAGGGAAAACTCATTGATTTTCTTTTTTGTCTTTGGTGAATCTTGGGGTTCTCCTCTTTTCGGCTTCCCGACGCTCCAGGACGGCGGTCTTCTGGGCGTCCGAGGCCGCCGGGGAGGCTCCCAAATCGCCCCACAACCATCCGAAAGGGCTTCCAGGCAGTCCAAGAAAGCTTCAAGACGGCACAGCAGGGGTCCAAGATGGCCCTATAAGAGAGCCCCATGGCGGCCCAAGGTGGCTCCAAGACACCCTCCGAAGCATTCCAAATCGTGACTCGGCCGTTCAAGGAGACCGCGGTTGGAGGCAGGGTGGCCCGAGAAAGCCCCCAGAGGCCCCCAGAACACGCCCAGGAGGCCTCCAGAAGGCTTTCAGAAAACCAGAAAAATTGTGAGGTCCCCAGAGGCTCTCCAAGGAGGATCCTCCGCAAAAAGAGCAGAGGATGATGGGGAGACTGCGCAGGTATGGCGAGAATGAGGAAAAAGAAGCATGGAGGAAGGATAACGAATACCACGGTTATAACGGCGATGCCGGAAAAGGCAACAAGGAGTTATCGCTAAATTGTCGTATGGACCCTCGTTGCTTTTTCCTCATTCTCGCCCTGCCCTGCGAATTCTTCCCCATCCTCCTCAGCTCTTTTTGCGGGGGCTTCTCCTTGGAGAGTCTCTGGGGGCCTCACGATTTGGAAAGTTTCGGAGGGTGTCTTGGGGCCATCTTGGGCCGTCATGGGGCTATCTTAGGCCATCTTGGAAGCCTATTGTGCCGTCCTGGAGCTTTCTTGGACTGCCTGGAAGCCCTTTCGGATGGTTTTGATGCGATGTTCGAGCCTCACAGGCGGTCTCGGACGCGCAGAAGACCGAAGAACAGGGCATTTCCAAAATCATGCAACAACCTTGGAGAATCAATTTTTTTTCTGCGTTTTGGAAGCCTCTTGGGGTCTTCTTTGGGTCGTCTTCGGGCGTCTGGTGGGTGTCTGGGGCCTCTTGGGGCCCTCGTGGGGGCGTTCGGCCGCCCTCCTGACCGATTCGGGCCCGTTGCCAAGGCCCAGCAAGGGATTCCAGGAACTCTGAATCGCCTGGGGGGCCTCCAGGAACATCCCGGGGGTCCCTGGGGCCACGGATCCCGGGGGTCCAGAGGGTCCCTAGGGGCCCAGGCCGGGATATTCTAAAGTGAATTGGGCATTGCAAGTTAGTGGGAACGAGCGTGCATCCGCGGCTGTTTGGCTCAAAGCGGCCGGCCGCCCAGATCTGTCTACACTTCAGCGCGAGGTGTACTATTTGCCATCGATACCAAAACACTGCTTGAGATGGTTCGCCCCCTACTAGTGGGACTATCGTTACTGCTGCACAACAGAGCGGGAGCTTGGCTTCGCCTAAGGAGAAGCTGTTGGTTGGGCCTCCCAACCCCTTTCAAACTTGGTAGCGGAGCTGGCCTACGGTGGTCAGCTCTTGCTCTGCTCCTCACCATCAACGGCACTATCTGGTGGACTACAGACGTGGTGGAACATGAGGGTGCTATGGGTTTGCGCGGAGAATGTATATAACTACGCAGTATCGCAAGGACACTTGCAGTGACGCCTCTGCTCGCGCGGAGGCCTCTTACTTTCGTCCTACATCCCTGCGCGACTACACTCCTGAAGTCCACCCACTTACTCACATTGGAAACTTCTTCAAAGACATAATCCATGGAAACATGCGATACGATACTCTGCCGCCTCCACCCCCACGCAGACTTACGACCACACATCGAAAACCCCAACCGACTACATCCGACCACGACCTGCGAGGCCATTGGATTGGTATTACTATATTTGGGCTCGCATGGGTCGCTATCGGGTGTGCGGTAGGACATTTGCGTGGCGGTGACGACACAATAACGACCGGCCCCCATTGGGACCCAGCCGGTCAAGTACGTTTCCGCGAATTCGTCCGCGAGGTACATGCCTGGATCAACGTGACCACAGGCAACATGACGCCCTCCCAACAGGCTACAGCCCTGCAGCGAGGTATGGGAGGCCTCGCACGGACCATAGCCATGATAGTCCCCCCAGCAGTTATCAATTTTGGCGTTGACATAGGTGGCCGCCATACCGACGGCGCCACCTACATCATGTTCATCTTAAGCACGAGGTTCGATAATTTAGAAGGAGAAGCGCCAACTCAACTCTGGTACAGCTCTCATTGACTTCCGAGTTCATGCGGGAGAACGAATCGACCAGACGTTGGCACGCTTCGAGATAGCCCGCCATGAAGCTGAAACGGCAGGCTTGAACATCCCCAACTTCCAAATCTTCACAGTTATTTTATTCAGAGCTCTTGGAGTGGGGACATCGCGTGCACAGCAACTCCCGCAGCCACTAAACCACCACGTGCCGAGATACCAACAACAACCTGACACTCTACTTGAACGCATGAGGTCATGCGCACGCATTGCTGAGAGAACCCCTGGCAATATTGGTGGTATTTTCAGTCACGGTCACCGAACCGAGACCTTCCACGCTGAGGTAAACGCAGGGCAACCTGCAAATCACGTTTGGAATGACGATCCACAACCAACTGAGACCACTACACTACTGGCTCAGAACGGTGGATCGGCCTCGGGGTCGCAAGACTCCTGGGCGAGGGTTCGGGGGCCGCCCGACATGGTATCCCCTACACAAG